AAGGTGTTTGGCACAAGCAAAAAATTAATGATTTGGATGAAAAAGTAAAAATTACTTTAAAGATAAGGATCTTATTTTCATTTGACTTTATTTATGTCATGAATTAGACCATCTATATACTCATATAGCAAGAGAACTATCCATGATATTATATAATAATTCATATAAGAAATAATAGTTATAGTATTTTTCTTAGATTTAACCTGCTTCAATTTATTTGGTATGATAATTTGAATACATCCCTAAGAACAACTTGAAGTTGCAACAATTATATCCATCATCTAGAAGGCAACGTTTACGACCGTAGAGAGGGACAAGAAGTTAAAGAAGAGAAGTGGTCACTGATAGATGTGGCACTATGTCAGTACTGGAGTTCGAACGAACCCCCTTTTGAACACCAAAACTTGAATCTATGCACATGTTAGAACATTGAACCGTAATAATAAGTCATTATTAAGAAAAAAAAGAGTTGTATTAGAATAGTTTTTTGATATTTTATTTATTAAGACAATGACTTTTTTTTTTTTAGTATGAATTTATAAAATTCTTAAAATAAAAGTATAGTAAGTAGGTGCAAAGTGGTTATGACCTTAAGTGTCTTATAAATGAAGCATGTATTTAAGATGAACAAGATCTATGAACAATATCAAGCAATTAAAGGAATGGCTTACTTATAGAAAGATACTTTGAATTGCAATTAGAGTTTTATAACACAATTATGTTGTTTTACTTAAATGTTAAAATAGTAGTTAAAATAGATGCAATGTAGAAATGTTTTTAAGGTGTTTGGCACAAAAAAAAAAAAAAAAAAAAAAAAAAAAAAAAATTGTTGAAAAAGAAAGAAACACTTTGAAGATAAGGATCTTATTTGAATTTGACTTTATTTATGTCATGAATTTGACTACCTATACATTTGTTTGGCAAAAAAATCATCCATGATATTGTTTAATAAATCGTATAGGCAAGAATAGTTATAGTTTTTTTTTTAGATTTAACTTGCTTCAATTTATTTGGCATGATAATTTGAATGCATTCCTAAGAACAACTTGAAGTTGCAACAATTATATCCATCATCTAGAACGCAGCGTTTACTAATGTAGAGAAAGACAAGAAGTTAAAGAAGAGAAGTGGTCGCTGATAGATGTGGAACTACGTGAGTAGTGGGGTTCGAACCTACGCCTCCTTACGAAGACCAGAACTTGAGTCTTTGCACATGTTTAAACTTTGAACCATAATAATAAGTCATTATTAAGAGAAGATCGAGTTGTATTAGAATAGTTTTTTGATATTTTATTTATTAAACAATAACTTTTTTTTTTAGTAGGAATTTATAAACTTCTTAAAACAAAAGTATAGTAAGTAGGTGCAAAGTGGTCATGACCTTAAGTGTCTTAAAAATAAAGCATGTATTTAAGATGAACAAGATCTATGAACATTGTCAAGCAATTAAAGGAATGGCTTATTTATGAATACATACTTTGAATTGGAATTAGAGTTTTATAATATAATAATGATATTTTACTAAGTTGTTAAAATAGTAGTTTAGGTAGATGCAATGTAGAAATATTTTTCAGGTGTTTGGCACAAGCAAAAAATAAATGATTTTGATGTAAAAGTAAAAAATACTTTGAAGATAAGGACTTTATTTGAAGTTGACTTTATTTATGTCATGAATTGGACCATCTATATACTCATTTGGCAAGAAAACCATCCATGATAATGTTTAATAACACATTTAGGCAAGAATAGTTATAGTGTTTTTCTTAGATTTATCCTGCTTCAATTTATTTGGCATGATAATTTGAATACATCCCTAAGAACAACTTGAAGTTGCAACAATTATATCTATCATCTACAACGCGGCGTTTACAAACGTAGAGAGGGACAAGAAGTTAAAGAAGAGAAGTGGTCACTGATAGATGTGGAACTATGTCAGTAGTGGGGTTCGAACCCACGCCCCCTTACGAAGACTAGAACTTGAGTCTATGCTCATGTTTAAACTTTGAACCGTAATAATAAGTCATTATTAAGAGAAGAATGAGTTGTATTAGAATAGTTTTTTGATATTTTATTTATTAAGACAATGACCTTTTTTTTTTTAGTATGAATTTATGAAATTCTTAAAACAAAAATAAAGTAAGTAGGTGCAAAGTGGTCATGACCTTAAGTGTCTTAAAAATGAAGCATGTATTTAAGATGAACAAGATCTATGAACAATGTCAAGCAATTAAAGGAATGGCTTATTTATAGATAGATACTTTGAATTGCAATTAGAGTTTTATAACACAATAATGATGTTTTACTAAGTTGTTAAAATAGTAGTTTAGGTAGATGCAATGTAGAAATGTTTTTAAGGTGTTTGGCACAACAAAGAATAAATGATTTTGATGTAAAAGTAAAAAACACTTTGAAGATAAGGAATTTATTTGCATTTGAAGTTCAAGAAGAGAAGAGATCACTGATAGATGCGGAACGATGTCAGCAGTGGGGTTCGAACCCACGCCCCCTTACAAAGACTAGAACTTGAGTCTATGCTCATGTTTAAACTTTGAACCGTAATAATAAGTCATTATTAAGAGAAGAATGAGTTGTATTAGAATAGTTTTTTGATATTTTATTTATTAAGACAATGACCTTTTTTTTTTTAGTATGAATTTATGAAATTCTTAAAACAAAAATAAAGTAAGTAGGTGCAAAGTGGTCATGACCTTAAGTGTCTTAAAAATGAAGCATGTATTTAAGATGAACAAGATCTATGAACAATGTCAAGCAATTAAAGGAATGGCTTATTTATAGATAGATACTTTGAATTGCAATTAGAGTTTTATAACACAATAATGATGTTTTACTAAGTTGTTAAAATAGTAGTTTAGGTAGATGCAATGTGGAAATGTTTTTAAGGTGTTTGGCACAACAAAGAATAAATGATTTTGATGTAAAAGTAAAAAACACTTTGAAGATAAGGAATTTAAAACACTTTGAAGATAAGGAATTTATTTGCATTTGAAGTTCAAGAAGAGAAGAGATCACTGATAGATGCGGAACGATGTCAGCAGTGGGGTTCGAACCCACGCCCCCTTACGAAGACCAGAACTTGAGTCTGGCGCCTTAGACCACTCGGCCATGCTGACTTGTCTTCCGCTGATGTGCTGTCGCAGCTCAAAGCCGCGTACTATCGCTTCAATAGTATTCTTCAAGGGCACGAGAACTCATGTAGACAGGTTGATGCCCTGACGCTAACATCAACGACTGACGCGTCGGGGGAAGCCGAATGTTCGGAATGGGCAGGGCTCATTCATCCCATCCCAAGCCCCAGGCTCCAAAGCGAACTTGGGGAGCTGAGGGAGAAGGGGGCATTATCCACAAGCAAGCCCCCCAGAGACAGCAGAATACGACGACGAGGGCCAGGAACACTCTTCCGTCTCACCAGCCCTGCGCTTTTCTGGAGCATTCCAAAGCCCCATGAAAGCCCAAAACCCACCTCCCACCCTGCAGCGCGTCTCCCCAATCCCCTCCTCAATCTTCGTATCCTTCGATTAGGTCGGATTCCTCCTCTGTCTGCTTCACATTCTCGCATTCTGTCGTCTTCACTCCAATTCTCCGCTCCCCCTCCTCCTTCCTTCGCATTGTAGCGCGTCCGCATTCGCATTCGCATTCGCATCCGCATCGCTATTGCAGTTTGGATTCAATCCACCGCCATGGCTGCCCAGGTTGGAATGGCTCTCAACGCCCAGACCTGCAAATTGGCCTCCTTTCAGGGCCTCAGGGCTACCCCCGCGCGCTCTGCCCAGCTCAACCCTAGCCAGGTCTCCTTCACTGCCCCCTCCCGCAGCAGGTGCGTCGCCGTGCGCGCTGTCGCGGCCGTGGCGCCCAAGTTCGCCACGCTCAAACCCCTGGGCGACCGCATCCTCGTCAAGATTCAGACCGTGGAGGAAAAGAGCTCGGGCGGCATCCTGCTGCCCACCACGGCGCAGACCAAGCCCCAGGGCGGGCAGGTGGTGGCCGTGGGCGACGGCAAGTCGCTGGGCGACAAGAAGCTGGAGCCCGCGGTGAAGACGGGCGCGCAGATCGTGTACTCCAAGTACGCGGGCACGGAAGTGGAGTTCAACGGCGAGCCGCACCTCCTGCTCAAGGAGGACGACGTCGTGGGTCTGCTGTCCACGGACGACGTGAAGGACCTGGAGCCGGCCAACGATCGCGTGCTCATTCGCGTGACGGAGATGGAGTCCAAGACTTCGGGGGGCGTGTTGCTCACGGACAGCGCCAAGGAGAAGCCCGTGATCGGGTCGGTGGTGGCGACGGGGCCGGGTGCCTACGGCGAGGACGGCGAGCGGAGGCCGCTGGAGGTGCAGAAGGGCAACACGGTGCTCTACTCCAAGTACGCGGGCAACGAGTTCAAGGGTAAGGACGGGACGCAGTACGTGGTGCTCAGGGTGCAGGACATCCTCGCCGTGCTCTCGTAGTTTAGACCAATTTATCCTTGTTTCGTTTCGAGAGTAGGTTTTGGTAGTTGTTGGATATTTAGATTGCAGCCGGATTCCGGTTGTCTTTTTTAGGTGACGGATACTGGTTAGGGGTGGAACTCGTTGCAGAAGAACTGCGATGGTCGTCGGAGTCATCGCTGAGGTCGTGCATTGCGAGGGTTATACTGAAATGAATGTATTGCAATGAATGAGAATGCGGCTGATGATGGCCTTTTCGCTCGATTCGATGGAGTGCGAGCTCATTGGCCCTTGTGCATTTGGGTTTTTCCGATTACGGTCCGTTCAGCACCTGGCGTGGTTTCTGTTTGGAGTGGGTTGATGTGAGTTTTTTTGAGTAGTACAGTGGATGGTGCATTTGGATGGTTGCACAGCAGGAGTGTGTTGTGTAGGATTATTTTGATTGCTATTTCTTTTTTCGTTTTTTGGAAAATGGTTTGAAGCGGATGGCTTGGAGGACCTAATTTTGTTGTAGCATAGTAGAACCGGTGGTATGTGTGTGTGTATGTGTATCATACATTTTGTAGGTGCGGTGCTGTTTTGTATGCCGTGGTTTGCACCCGAATTGGAGGCTGCAAATGCAGCCCGAGTTTGAGCGGGTAACACCGTTGTGTGGGTTGTGCGCCCGATTCTTTGGTCTCTGCAGCGGGTATTGACGGTTGTGTGCGTCATGTTGTAGCAGTTTGCGTTGTGCGTGTGTCGGTAAATGACGAGTTGAGACACTCGTTTGGGTTACATTGGACATGTGGTGTAGTCAGAGCGCATGTGAATTCAGTCGCATCGTGCAGGGGGCTCTGCCGTTCTCTGCTCTGCTCTGTTCTGCTCTGTTCTGGAAAGTAGCCGCGGGTTGTATACGTCCGTGGGATCTTGGAAGCAGCTGTTGCGGTCCAACTGTGGTTTATTTCAAATATCTGCTGGGGGATCGAAGCATATTCGCAAGAGGCTGTGGTTTGAGGATGCACAGCTGTTGTGTTGGGCATGTGGACATGTGTGAGGGTTTGACGTCTCCTGTATGATGGGGTACACGTGCAGACCTGATTTTATCAGGTCGGTCCACGCTGGAGATTATCGAACACAGGCGGAGATTGGACGGATCGCAGACAGCATTGTTCACTTTTCAAATGGGTGCTAATATGCAGCATGTAATTGCATGTTTTGGATGCGACCAATTTCACATGTGTTCGGTCGACCTCTCGACGACCTGGATCATAGCCGAGGTTGGGATTGTACCTCTGGTGCAGATCAGAAAGTCAGTAAGAAACCAGAAAGTGAAAAAAAGTAAAAAAAAAAAAAAACAGGAGAGTCTCGGCTGCGCTGAACGTTCAGTTGATGTGTGTCTCTTGTGGATCAACTCGAGAAATGTCTCCTGCGGAGTGCCTCCACGCTCTTCGTCGAGGAAAGAAGGGTGTCTTGAGCTGCATGCTTCATCACTGCACGAAAAGCACACACCACTTGTGATGAAGAAGAATCACGATCACTGCAGTCGGCTCAGTGTCGATGAGCGGAATGAAGGCGCTTGATAATGGTGCACTCCCAGGCCAATTTAGAGAGGACGGCAATTGCATTTGAACAGGCATTCTCTGTGTCTCGTGTGACGATCCAGTGCCGAGATGGCAATGCGATGTGTGTATCACGAGAGAAATCGGTTCATCTGTTCTGCATGCATGGCCTACTGTGCAGAGTGAGATGTTCTTACAGTGGGCTATGGCGGACTGCGCTTTGGTGCAGATGTCCTTGCACGCATCCTGCACACAAAGGTCAATCCTCGAGAGGATCTGAAGTGAATTAGCTTTGGAAGCCAACATGTCGACCGCAGAGTGCTCTCTCCAACTAACGGAAGCTGTGCATGCATCGAGGTCACTTATTTGTTTGCGATTGGAAGGTCAGCAGAAGTTGATCACACAACAAGGGCGGTTTCGGTGTTTGTGGGAGGTGTTGCGCAGGGAACATGTCTCATGCGCATGGCAAAACCTCTCGCGACGATGTAATCATCTTCAGACATGCATTCAATCACACGCTCGAGTCGGTTTATTCCTGCGAACCTGGATCTCCTGAAAGTCGTCGTTGAACTGGGCCATGGATTCGCCTGCTTGTATCTCGAGCGCTACAACGTGCGCTTTGAGGGTCTGAGTGTCACACTTGATGCACAGCAGATGCCAGTGACAATATCAGGCTGCTATCCAACATGGCATGAAGACGTACTTGAGTATTGCACACGCGCGTGTGTGTCGTTGCGGAAATAAGAGCATTCACTGATTGCGTCACTGGACATTGCATCATGCACCTTCATACAACAAGACGATGAGACTTCACCCATGCTCAAACGTGCAAGAATTCAACACCCTGCACAGTGTCCTCACCTTCACCCGCTTGCGCAGCCTGTCGCCGGAAGTCTCTATGTCCGTCAAACACGGTGCGTGCAGTTGGTTCAACTTCTCCTCCAAGGACAGCACGGTGGACTGTACACGAGACTTGACAGCGGCGACGTCGTCGCAAGAAGCGGGAGGGCCATGGATCATGTCGCCGAGGTTGCGATCAGGTTCAGACACCCGTGGCCGTGGCCGTGGTCGTGGGCGTGAAGGACCACCGTCTCGTGCATTCTTGGTCTTCCTCTTCCCCATGCTCCTGAACGGTCTCCGAAACAGAGTCAGTGAGATGACGAGTGCAAAGAGAGATGAGAGTGCTCCAGCGTAATGGGCTATGAGCGAGAGGTTTGCTTCGGCACAGGATTCCCACCTTGCTTGTGTTGGTGGTGGACAAAACCGGACGAGCAGAGCCCGCTTCGATTGCCATCGAGGAATCGAACAATTCAAATTTGAGGCGCGGTTGGCGTGGATTTGAATTTGATCACTTGCATTCCCTGCCCGTTCGAATAGTCGCGGGTGATCCGATGATTATCACTCAGTCTCCTCCCTCCTGGCCACGGGGGAGGTTTTTACCGACGCGTTATCCTCTCTTCGGTAATATAGTTTTACGCTACAAACCCCTACGTGTGTGATACTTCGCAAATGTTGTTTAGTAGCCGGGTTTCATGGTGTGCCTGTGTTTGTTTTTAGGTCTTTTGTGATTTTTTGATGAAGTGAGGTGTTTGGGATTCATTTTTGAGTCAGCTCATACTTTTTGGGGAGTACACAAGCAGCTTAGTTATATATTTGTTTTAATTTTTTCTGAGAAGGATATTTGCTGGGTATTGGTGGGCGTAAAGAGCTTGGTGAAGTTTCAACATCCTTTTGGATTGAGTGACTGGATCCCTTGAGTGTTCTTTGAGTGGGTTTTTAGAATATTGGAACAGAGTTTGACTTAGTGCTTTCGATAGGGGCCTGATTATGTTTAGTGTTGTAGAAGTTTTAGTCTTAGAATATTTTGAGATGATTTTTTGCACGTCCATTCGGAGTTGATGATGACATAGATCTCATTGTATAGTACTGCGAGGGTAATGTTCCTCACTTTTGCCTTTGAACTTCGGAATGGACAGGCACAAACTGAACATTGTACACAAAGTCTTTGGAGGTTTACTGACAGGTGTAGAAGACTTGGGCGCGCTCATTCAATTGAGCCCAATTCAGCTGGATTTCTCTACTGGTTGCAGATATGTGTCTATGCGTGTCTCGGTTTGTTCAAGTTGGATCTCTACCTGCCTTTATGTGTTTTTAGAGTCGCCCTCTGTGATCGAAAGGTACTGGGAGCAATGTTTTGAAAAAGTATTCGTATTCAGAACTTGATGGAACACTTTCTTTCCACGTAATGAGATGCCAAGGTTACATCGGGAACCTTAACAGAGCGTTCGACGACAAGCAATCCATTAGTTCAAGTGACGACGTGAGTACATTATTGCCTCCACCCCATCGACATCGCTTTTATGCTTTTCTAAGTTGGCAGCGCAGATGCGTCTTTTGTACTCACTGGGCCGGAAGAGTACGTTGCTTTACGGTGTTTGAAAAGAATTTCCACACCCTAGTCCAGGTGGTTGGGTACTCAACAAAATAAGAAAATCGGCTACGTGTGATACCACGATAAAGAGCATGCAGACCTCTCAATGAAATTGGACTTGTGTACGAGATGAGTACTTTTCGAAGCAGAATGCTCAATTCTAGTGTCGTTGGGTCTGCTGTCTTTTCGAAGACTCCTTTAAACGTGAGATTGATTTCCTTGATTGAAGTTTCTAAACTAAATTGGATATAGCCTTCTTTAGCACATGAAAAAAAACACAATGCTTGGGTCAAGGACCTACGTGTTCTTCTTTTCTAACTTCTAATACAAGTCGTGATCACTCATTTGACGGACATCGATAAAAAGACTGTTGAAAACTTGGAGCAATGAGTAGCTGTTTTGTGAATGACGCTTGTTTTTGTCAAAATGCCTACGTGACTGACTCCCCTAGCGCATGGGCAGTAGACACTACGCATGTAGAGTGCCAGTGACAATTCAAGTACAACGATGACTCATAATCTTAGGTGCTCTATTAGCAGTGTCAGAGAGGAGACAGCAGCTGTGATCAACAGGACCATGATTTTTTTAATGTGGAGATGTATTCCTGCAAGAACAACCGACTGAGTGGTTTTTGATGTTATTTGATTAGGGTTTCATGTCTCTTTGTGAATGCCTCGCACCATATTTGGCGTTCCATGTAAACTAAATTCGGATTGTTCTTTTTCAGGATTAGGTTCTATGAGCACTGATGGCTAATTGAATCAATTCTAGCATCCTCGCGTAGTCGGCACTGAGCACACAAGACTTCGACCATGTTTCGCCACGGTTTGACATGCCATCCTCCTCAGAAACTCATTCTAGTGCAGGATGGCGAAACTGCTGCTGGAAAAGAATCTATACTCAGATATCTATTGCAGCCTTGAAGTCGAAATTTTCTTCTTAACAAATGATATGCTTTAAAGAACTGCAGTGTCTCTTGTTCTGGAACAAAGTGTACTGCACATCTCCTTGTTTGTTGAAGCCCTCAGACTGAGCCCAAATCAGCATCTACTGATACCAACATTTGCCTACAACACAGTTGTTCACCACAGATGCAATGAAGTCTGTGAAGCTGAATCCGTAACAATGCCATGTATTCAACGACATGCTCTTCCGGGCTTGCTTGCAGCTTGTGAGTGCGGCTTCAAAATGCTGAGCTGCTGCCCATGAAACACATGTTTTCATGCCTACCGAGAAGTTTTATCAGTCTGAGGGCCTTTCACAAGAGCGGTATTTTTACTCAGCAAGGAATGGAGACCCTGGACCTCCACTGCAAACAGATGTTTGAGACAGATTTTGAAGCTCAATATTTGAGTTGTCTCCAAAGCTGACTGGTCTCTGTCTCTAATCTTGCCCCCGCAACCCACTACAGATATGAGTCATAAGTGGCCTTGCTGCAGGAATGTTAAGTTCAATATCTCCTCAAAGTCCTTACCCTTTGTTTCCATTCCATTATACCGTTGAAGTCTATCTCTGTCTCCCATCATATGACAAGCTGATGAAACCAGTAACAGCGATGCGGGGTTGTCTTGTCTGTTCTCAAATCCAACCTCCACAACAACCAAGGTGCCATCTTAAGTACATCTTTATTTCTTTTCAAATTTTTGGGAAAACTTTGCTCCTCAAAGGTTTAAATAGGCGATGAGTGGCCTTCAGCTGGAATGTGGGCTAGTCCTTTGATATAAGTACAAAAAAAAAGTGAAAAAACCCTGCGTGCTCTTAGCTTTTATAAATCTGATGTGACATGGTTGCAAAAGAAAGAGAAGAAATAAAATCAAATAAAGCAGACAAAGCAAGCAAGCAAGAGTTTTTTTTCAAAAAAAATTGAAGAGGGAAAAAAGAAAGAGAAAAGAGGAGATTTACAAAGGAGGTAACACATCAATATCTTGCTTGAAGGCCAATGTAAAGACCAGGTCCAGGTCCAAAACAATTTTGTCACCCACCGCCCCATCTTGGCACCCCATTATAAAAGCCATTCTGGGAACACAGGATACTTATTCTGAAAATGACGCGTTCTTGCGTGGAAAGAGTCATAGCATGAATGAAGCTACTAGTATTCATCCACCCCTAATGCTCAAAAATTTAAACTGAACTTTTCTTTTCTTTCCTTTTTTTTCCTTTTTCTTCACTACAATGATAATAATAATAACCAGCCCAAGAAGTGGGTTTCTCCAAACACCTCTTACAGAATGAAGGTGCTGTTTTGTGAAACCTCACAACCAAAAGCTGTGGACAGCCACTACAAGTTCATTTCCTTATGTTCCTATTCTTTACTCACCTACCCAACCATGGCCACCACCAATTGTAGAAACAACATTCCACACTCTCTTTTTGTTGAGGATCTGTTCTCAGTTCCCAGTTCCCAGATCAGTTTTGGATCGCATGACACATGGCTGCTTGGGGGGGGAGGGGGGGGCGTGTGTGTGCAGAGGGTGGACCTAGAACTAGCCCCACAGATTCTATGCTTCCTTCTTCCTCTGAAGGCTCTGGCATGAGCTTCATCTGGATTGTGTGCAAGGGTCACTTTTTGCAAAGGTTCCAAATGGACACCATCCAGGCTTGCCCTAAAGCTCACTCAAATGAACCTCTCATTGGCCCCCAACCCCATAAAGGTATTGCTTCCCTTGTAGATCTCATTTGCTTCCTTTTCCATCATGCTGGAGAAGAAGAAGCATGAAGAATGAAGAAGAAGGAATTGGAAGAAAGAAGGAAAAAAAAAAAAAAAAAAAAAAAAACTGGGAGTGGTCTCCTAGTCAGCCTATCCTACTCCTACATTGGATAAACTTAGGGACCCAATTAACAACAGCTACAATTAGTCCCCTTCAGAGCCCAACTTGTGTGTGAGAGCTCCAGGATGGATTCCGGGTGGAACAGGCGTGCAGGAAGGGGAAGGGGCAGGAGTGTGGAGGTAGTTGTAGTGTCATGGGCGTGGGTCAGGGGTCGTTGTAGAAGATGGGCCCGGTTGAGGCTTGGGCGGCGCGGCCCTCACAACCAAAGCCAGTTAAGCCAGTCCCCCCACCCCCACCCCACCCCAACAACAGCTCTCTCTCTCTTCTTCCTTTTCCAGTCCAGGAAAAGCCTATGCTAACAAGCAAGTGCCAGCTGGATCTTGCCCCCCCCCCACCCCCTCCCTCAGTTCTATCCCGGGTGCAATCCTCTGTCTGAGTGGATGAATGTGAGTGTATATTTTGGATGGATGTTACATTGCTATATTGGATGGATGTTCTGTCGCACACTGTGTCACTGGAATGTTCCATTTGTATGCAGAATGTTCTTTTGAGAATGGGGGTCAAAGGCCCACATTCTTGCTGTAAATACAAAAGAGAGGGGGGAGAGGGAGAATGTTAGGGTTTTGGGGGAAAAATAGATGAATAAAATAAATAAATAAGATGGAGAACTATTTGTGTGTGTGTGTGTGTGTATTGAGTGGGATAAGATGTGGACATGTGGAGGCTCCCATCATGTAATGTCATGTCATAAGGTTTGGTTTTGGTGGAAAGTCATAATTGACAAATGTGACTAGACTTAAGGGAAGCTAAGCCACTCTCTCAACTCTTAACTGTAACCAATGCTTTT